GGTATAGTTTTCTTTTCTTGGGATGAGGAGAGACTTTGCTTTCACATTATTTTTTCTGAGGTACTGACAACTAGTCCTGCTCAGAAACCATCTATGGCTCTCCATCACATCCAGGACCTATTCCAGATCCTATGGCCTGGCCTTCAGTGCCCTGCGTTGTGAGCCTTTGCCCCTCTCTTCTTCACTCAACATCCTGGCTCTGGCCACATTGACCCCAGCACCTGCCTTGGCTTCTCCAGCCTCTCTGCCCCTGGACCTGAGCTGTTTCTCCATGAAGTTCTCTGCCACCCCTAATCCACCCCTCTCTAGGTCATCTCCTTCTCAATCACTTCTGGGTCACAGATGCCAAAAGGAAGACTTTGTCTGGTTTCTGAAACCCTCACTGGAGCTGAAGCGGGTGGGGGGGGGGCGGCTAGAAGAAATTCGGGTTGTGGAGCCAGACAGACCTGGGTGTAAACCCAGCACCTCCTCTCCCTGGCTCTGGGGACCTGGGGAATTCAGTTCACCTCTCTGAGCCTCCGTTGCCTCTTGGTAAAGTGGAGAATATGTTGCCCTCTTCTTCCGGCTGCGGGAGGGATGTGCGGAGATGTCTGGTGGCTGGTGGGTGCTGTGGTTACCGCAGGCTGGGCTGGTCTGGTCAGGGGTCACCCCAGGAAGATGTGAGCTCGGGAGAGGGCTGGGAAGGAGGTGGGACTTCAGGAAATGCTCCCAGAAGCAATCTGGAAGGATAGACTTAGCCGCAAGCCCAGACTCCTGCATTGCAACACGGAGACTGTCAGGCAGGTCTAACCGGTTCTGCTGGCCGGGATCTCTGGCTGAATTCACACCGAAATTGATTGGCAGGGAAGGCCCCTGGAAGGCGGTGTGCAAACCCCAGCAGGAGCTCCTGGGAAGTAGGCTTTACAGCTGTGAACGTACTGTGGGAAAGAAGCTGGAGTTTCAGCCCCGAGTGCGAATATTCTCACCCCCACCGGCTTTTTCCAGATGCTCAGAGCCCAGGGAGCCTTGACTGACAGGGCTTTCCAGCATTTTCTGGCATGGTCGCTATGCAAACTTGCCTCCCACTTAGGGAGCCACTTTTTGGAGAGAACATCTTGAGTCTTCAGGCCAAGGGCTGGGGTCCCTCACGTGGTGACAGCACCGTTGCGTTTTGGAAGCTGTGTTTCCATCAGTCTGCGTGGGGCAAGTGTGGCCTGGTACACATGTGTGCATGTGCACGTGGACTTAGGCAAGAGCGTGTGTGCACACGTATACACAGCTGCCGAACCACAGCGTGTCTGTGGTTAAGATGGGGGACCCAGCGTCAGGCTGGCTGGGTATGACGGCCACGTCTGAACTTACTGGCCCCGTGGAAAGGCTGCTTTCACCTGGAGATTTCAGATTTTCTATCAGCTGAACAGGAACTCTGATCCTGTCAGAGTTGAATCTCTTTTGTGCCTGCAGAGAGTGCTTAGCACGGTTCCTGACCATAGTAGGGGCTTGATAAATAGCGATAGCTATTTTCACTGTAGTGTAAATCTAGTTAGTCATATTACAGGTAGGGGTGCAGACTCTGTAACCAGAGTGCCCGTTCCAACATGCTCTAGCTGTGTGATTCTGGACCAGTTACTTCACTGCTCCCCGTCTTAGTGTCTTCATCTGTAAAATGGGGTGATAATATTTGCCCCCGCCTCACAGGGTTGTGTCAGAAGGTGCTTACAACCGTGGATACGTAGTGCTCTGTGTGTTAGCTCATGGCCGCCATCATCACCACCATCATCTTCTCCATCTTCACTCTCGTGATCCTTACCTTGTCCGCCATTTTCGGTACCCACTGACTTTTCCAGAGGAAAATTGGCTGGTTAGGAGATTTCTAAGGCACTCCAAGCTCAGACCTTCGAGAAATATCCGGTGAAGTCTCCAGGCATCACCCAAGGTAACATGGCTCCGAATTCAAGTCCTGCCCCAACGGCCCCTGCCTTGGCCCCTCTGTTCACAAAGCACTGTCAGCTTTGGCCTGTCCCTCTGAAGGCACTCTGGGTAGGGGGTGAGCAACGGGCCCTGTGCCCCAGAGTCTGCCTCCTGGTGATGACACTTGGCTCCTTCCCAGCCAGCAGGGGTGTGCCCAAGTCCTCCTGCGAAGTGGCTGAGTCAGGATTTGAACTGAGGTCCGTCTGTCCCCAAGGGACGTGGCTTTGCCTCCTTGCTTTGGAGTCCCTGCCGTCTGGCAGTCCAGCAACTTGAGGAGGCTGTCAGAGCCTTGTGGGAACTCGTGGTGCAGGGTGGAAATAGGGGACAGCACAGCACAGCACAGGGGGGACAGATGGCACCGAATGGGAGCAGGGAGAGGACCAGAACTGCTGGACTGGACCAAGCAGGCTCAGGAAAGGGAGGAGGCAGCATTTGGGCTGGTGATCCACCGGGACAGACAGACGGAGCTGGAGGAAGGGGCTGCCCCGGGAGAGGAGTCAGCCTGGGTGAAATCCCACAGGCAGCAGCGGAGGAAGTTTCCAGAACAGCAATTGGATTATCCAGGTGCCCTATTTGGCTGGAGAGGGAGGTGCAGGAAGATGGCTAGGATTGGAAAGAGGAGGCCGCACGCAGGTCCTAAGGGGTTGACTATGATGACGAGTTAGGGTGTTAGCTGCCATGTTGCTTCTGGGACACGCAGCCCCCCACATGTGCCCCTTTGCACGGTCCAGCACGCGGACGTGGCTGCTTGAACTGCGAGTGGACACCTGACCCAAGCTGGGCCAAGAAGCGTGTGCTTCCCCGGAAATTAGAATTTGGGTGCTGGGTTGCCGGTCAGGGTGTGGTGGGAGCTCGAATGGGGAGAAAGGGTGAGGACAGGGAGCCAGGCGACATCACCTGGGCCTCATGCGGGAGGAGTCAGAGAATGCTCTCTGCAGACAAGTGGGGAGGAAGCAGTCACGTAGAGAATGCTGAAAAGGTTGAAGGCGGCTTAATATGGCTGGGGGTAGCGGGGCGGGGAGCCAAACCATATCACAAATTAGTAAAAAATAGGAAATTAAAAGCAGCATAGAAGAGTGAGGTTGAACAGAAGTGATGTTACGGTTCCCATCCGATATAAAGTTGTGTTGTGATGGGCCCCCATGTGGACTCTGGGCTTCCTGGCGGCCAATGGGAAGAGGGAAAAAAGATCAACTTTGAGACCCTACAGTGCTCCTTAAAGAAACATAAAGAAACCCACTGCTCAGGAGAAATGTAGGCATTGCTGGTTCTGGGGCTGGAGGGAAATCTCCCTGGAGGACTGCCACGTACCTGGAGAGATTCTGGTCAGGGAGGCGGTGAGTGGAGGCAGCATCTTGCTCTGGGAGTCAGAGACTGGATTCTGCTGCCAATTTCACTGTGACCTTAGGTGGTTGCTTAGCCTGTCCGAGACTTCGTTTCTTCTACTGTAACATGGGGCACCTGCTTAGAGGGCTCTGAAGGTGGCTTGACATTTGTGACAGAAGTCCCAGACACACTGTTGTTGGTCAGAAGGCCTAGCCTCTCTCTCGCCCTCCTTCTGAAAGCTATCTCCCTTTAATTACACTTTTTATTGCTCTCCTGCCCTCTCCCAGCCATGGGCTAGCTCCTCCCCAGGTCCACCCACTGCCTCTGGGACCAGGGCACCGCCAGGTGGTTGCTGGCATGGTGCCTCCTGGAGTCAGCAGGGCCCAGCCGATGTCCGCAGTGGAACAGAATTCAGAGACAGGACCCCCCAAGCCCACGTTCTCCCAGGGTCTCCCCTGTGCCTGGCCCCGGGTGGGGCAAGAAGTTTCCCCAACACAGCTCAGTCCCCATCATGTGCTCCTTAGTATCCTGTACATCTTCCTCACGCAAATCCCAGGAATAGATACATAATTCTGCGCAATAAGTTGTGTTAACGGCCATTTCCCTGCTAGGACACGTGTGTCATAAGGTCTGGTCTGTTTTGTCCTGTACTGTTCTGCTGGCCTGCTCATTACTTGCTGCGGAGTGAGTGCTTGAAATATATTGGCCGAATGCATGAATGAATGAATGAATGAATGGAATGAATGAATGAATTGAACGAAACCTCGTAATGGTCCGTACTGTAAGGTCCTGTAAGACCAGGACTCTTTTTTGGAGTTAAGAAAACTATAATTCATCTTATCTTTCTACGTCTTTTCCAGGTCAGTTTTGACTCATTTGTCAGGCTCAGCCAGAAAGGTGCTCTCTTAGGAGAGTCACAGCGCAGCTCAAGCATCCCCCACCCATTACCATCCCCCCACCCCCCAACCTCTCCAAGGTTTGCTCAGGTTCCTTTCCCTGTACATTTTATCTCCTGGGGACTGGTTATTCAGTTTCGTGACCTCTTGACTCCATCACTTACGTGATTTTCAGGGCCCCTTGCAAGATGAGGATGGCGGGGGGGGGGGGCTTGTTTCACAATTATGAAGAAGTTTAAGATGGCGACAGAGTGAGCATTGCCCCTTCTAGCTGCAGGGCCCCCTGTGACGGCACAGGTCCCATGCCCATGAAGCTGGTCCTGATCCTGTGATGACAAGGACATTGTAGGTGCGGTTTACTGCTTCTTCCCCCTGCCCTGGGCCTAACACAGTGCCTGGTCCTTATTAGTATCTCATTTAAACACCAAATGAACGAATGAATGAAGACAGATGTATGAGTAGACGTTACAGAGCCTCTCTGAGCTCCCATCTACAAAATGGGGATATCTTGCTTTCCTCCAGGCAGGCAGGGAAGACCCTCAGCCTTAGGGCCACGGGATCATGTGGTACATGTCCCAGAACTATTCAGATGTAGGTAGTCAGAGGGCAGAGGCCAGCTCTCTGTGGGGCCGGGTCAGGCTGGCCTGATAAGGCCAGCGGACTCTGCTCTCTCTGGGCAACCCGCCTACTTCTGATGACGAACTCCTACCTGGCTGGAGGCCAGGGCCCGGGGTGAGGCTAGGACCTTGCTTCTTTAGAAACCCTATCGACTGGGCAGCTACTGCGCTGGGCATTTTTCATGCATCATCTTTTATCCTCATTTGGCAGATGGGGAAATCAAAGGTCAGAGAGTGAAAATGGCTCGTCTCAGTAGGCAAAGGGCAGAGTCAGCCACGGGCGCCTGATCTGTCGTCTCTTAGACCGGTGCCCGCTGAGGACGGAACGTTCGCATCACACAGGGTGTTTGTTTGCAGAGCCGCGCATGGGTGTGTGAGCGTGAGCTCACTGGAGTGCGCAGGCCTCGGGACACTTGCGTCTCAGCTCCAGACCCTGCTGACCTTCCCCGAGGGCCGGACGGTGACTGCGTGGGCAGGGCCCAGCCGCCCCTGAGGCTGGAGGAGGCAGCCCAGATTCCTGCCCAGCCTTGGTCGGTGTCCCCATCAGGTGCCCTCGCCCCGTCAGCATCATCGGGTTTCCTGGTGTACCATCTTTGCACAAATATTTGAGTGTGTATTTACCTCTGTGTCTTTATTTTTTATGATTAGAGAAATATTGGTTTTTAAGCTTAAAACCGTACTGAGACTTTTGTGATACCTGTGTAAGCTTGTTTCAAAAGATTAAGGAAAGGCAAAGTGTAAACAGAAAAGGAAAGGGCTAGAGGCACTGAAACCCGACATTCCCACTGTAAAACCGTCATTTCTATACCCCTCCCAGACACACACACACACACACACACACACACACACACAGACACACACACAGACACACACACACACACCCTTCTACAGACTCCAGAGGCCAAAAGCTGACTGTCCACCTTGAGAGCTGGCATTCGAATGTTTGATGTGGAGGCCCCCTGCGCCACACGACTTGGTCTAACCCCCATCCCCCCCGCTGGAGTCTTCTATCCGCCCACTTTCTGCCTTGTACCTTGAAAGTGTTTGCATTTCTGACACTTGGCAAGAGGGGCACTTCTTTTTTAAAACCCAAATGAGTCCAACCTATACCCAGTGTTATGAAACTCCCTTTTTCCTTTTGCTTCATATGGTTTTGACATCTCGCCTGTACAAAGTCTGACTTACCTTTTTAACAGTTGCATAGTGTTCCAAAGAGCTGCCGCTTGAAACGTTGTTCTTTATCACAGAGCAGCAGTGGATGATACGTGGAGCAGAATGTGTGCGACAGGAAACTTCAAAGAAGTGTCCTGCCCGGGGCATCTCACGGTGGTCAGGCTCCCAGAAGGATGGGGTCTGTGGGTACGCCTGCTTGGGCCTTCCGACTTGGCGGGAGGCCTTGGCCCGGAGGAGAGAGCACAAGGCTAAGTTCTCCGTGCAGGGAAGCATTCTCTTACACACCTTCATGCTCACATGTTCACACGCTTTCCTCCACACACACATCCACACACACACACACACACACACACACAGACACACACAACAGTGTCTCACACTCCAACTGCTGTCGTAAATGTGAGCCCGACCTTCACGTCCCAGGGGTGTGCAACGGGTGTAACGAAATGCCAATTGAGTTTTTGCTCTATGCCCAACACTGTCCCAGGAATGTCATGTGCCATTGTGCGCGGTCCTCAGAATGCTTTCCAGAGGAGGAAATTGGAGGCTCAGACAGGGAGCGTTGTCCCGACAGACACACAGGGCAGTGTGAGGGCAGAGCCCCATCTGTACCTCGCCACACTTTCAGAGTTGCCCCAACCTGGCCAGATGACCCAAGAACTGTAGGGGATGGTGGCCTGTCCATTGCCAGTCTGCCTACCTCCAGCCTCTGGCAGTGCCCAGAGCTCCAGAAGACAGACAGATGCTTACAGTGTGATTCAACACATTTAGACACATTTAGAGCGGCAGGCGGCGGGCGGCGGGGGGGTGGGGGGGGTGCTTTTCCTGCGGGGGGGGGGGCAGAATAATGGCCTCCCTACCATGTCCGCATCCAAATCCCCAAAACTTGTAAACATGTTACCTTACCATGGAAGACAGGATTTTGCAGATGTGATGAGAGGTAATGACCTTGAGATTGGGGAGATTATCTTTCGTGCCCTGGGTGGGGCAAATGTCATCACAACGGTTCTTAAAGGTGGAGGACCTTTGTGGCCGGGAGCAGAGAGAAGAGGTATGAGTAGGGAAGCAGGCTCGGGAAGGGGAGGAAGAGTGCAGGCGGCCTCCACCAGCTGGAAAAGTTAAGGAGATAGATTCTCTCCTAGAGCCTCCCGCCCGCAACTTGATTTTAGCGTCAAACTTGCAATCTATAGAGTGGTAATTAAAGCTGTCATATCCGCTCTCCATTTGTCCATGAAGATCCATTTATTCATCTGCGGGTCCTTCCTTGGTCATATGACACAAACACACACACACACACACACACACACACACACACACACACACACGCAAACATGCCCGGTTGATGATACCAATGGGAGTAGTGACAGGAAGCACTGAAATGAGGCCCACCATGGGTCCTCTGCCAAGTGCATTTATGAATTCCTTCAGTTCCCATGACAACTCCAGGAGACAGGTAACACTTCGTTTGCCCATTTTACAGATGGGGAAGCCGAGACACAGAGAGGTCATTAACTTGCCCAGGGTCACACAGCTAAGAAGAGGTGCAGGTGGGATTTGAACCCAGGCTACGTGGCTTACGTTTATATGCTCACACACACGTCCATCGCATTCCCACTCAAAATACACAGTGACTTGCCACTGCTCTGACCTTTCTCCTTTCCTCCTCTCCTATCACTGGCTAAGGGGCATGAGGTGGAGACAATCGAGTCTGGGAACCCTGGCTATCAAAGGGATTTTCATGGGTTGTTTTCATGTCCAAGCTTCAAACAAGGTATTTGTAAGAAAAAAAGTTGCTAATCCACCCCCCCCCCCAATTTCACACCTCCTTTCTGAGACTTCCCTCATTTCAACCAGATGATTGGTTCCATGTGTAATTAAATGTGAGTCAATGTGTCTGGCCGGGCAGAACTCCGCAGACTGTCGGGTCTCAGAAGAGAGCTCTCTGAAGCTGCACCCGTGGTTGTCGGGTTCGGGGACCGCGGGGTCTGGAAGCACAGAGCCTGCGTCCAGGGTGTCCTCCTCTCTACCCCGCCCCCACCCACCCCAGGCCATGGAGCTGGGCCGGCAGAGCAGGCCAGCGGACTGCAGAGATGATTGGTGTTTTCAGGCAGCCGGCAGCTGGGGGGGGTGGGGGGATCACCGCTCTACCTCCTTACCTGCCTCTGGGGCTGGGCTGGGTCCCCCAGAACCTGTCTGGCCGGTTTGGAGGCTGTTATTACCAGGGCTCCCTGGGAAGGGATGGAGAGCTGGAGGGGTGAGGGGGAGGGCTGGACAGGGATGGGGGATGGGGAGCAGTGGGGGAGACGGGGGATTGGGGCTGGGGATGCAGAGGAGGAGGGTGGGGAGGAGGAGGAGGGGGAGGAGGGCCAGGGCTCTGCCTGGGCCCATTTGTGACCTGGCCTGCGGGTTTCCCCACTTCCCACCCCTCCCCCACCTCTAGTCCCAGGGGAAGGATTAAATCTTGTTCCCTGGTTCAGCACGGGGGTCTGGTCTGTCACGAGGGGGAAGGCCACTTCGAGAATCCCCCACATCCAGGCAGGGGTTGGAGCCCAGCTCTGCTTCCTGAGGCCACCCCTTGGTCCAGTGAGGGGTGTTGGGAGCTCCAAGTCTGAGGCGCCTTGGGTGAAGGGGGCACGGGGTCCACTCAGTGGGGACCCTGAGCAGCAGTGGGACCGGTGGCTATTGGGTAATCAGGTTAAGTGCACTTGCCTTCTTCCTGCCCCCAGACACTTTGGGCCTAATTAGCAAAATAATTAAGGCTCAAGTCATGTTTCTACTATTAATCTCCATGTCCGGACCTCTTCTGATGCATTTCATTCTTTGTCCTCCCTTCCCCCTCCTTTTCCCTCCCTCCTTCCCTCCTTCCCTCCTCTCTTATCTTCCTTCCTTCCTTCTTCTCTTTCCTTCCTCCTTCCTCCCTCCCTCCTTCCTCCCTTCCTTCCCTCCTCCCTCCCTCTCTCCTTCCATGCTTCCTTCCTTCCCTCTTCCCTTACTCCTTCCTTC